CAATAAGAAATTCCATTTGATATTTGTCAATGTTTGAAATAAATATTCATTGATTTAAATGTAAATAAGTATAATTTTAACAAATGAAACATGTGTATTTATAGTAGCTCCAACTGAGGAACCAGTCATCTTACAAAGGCAAGATAGTCGTAACGGTATACTGTTCTTATTTCAATATGTGTAATAAATTACAATTATCTGCCTAATAAGAGATATGATTATAATCTTTGATACAATGCCTTTAAAATATAAACAAATATTTCCATTGACAATTTTCCTAGGTAATTAACTAATTTCCCGATAATAAATATAAAATTCAGGATTATGTTCAACCCGAGATATTCAAGTAATTTACATATTTATTCTGAAATTAAACCCTTTACAATATTAATTAGATTGATTCTATCGGACATTCATTCAATGATCAATTAAATTTATTTTGATAAGTATACTCAGGCCTATTAGACAATCTAAGATTTCATTTTGTTGTCCTCGATTCTAGATCCGATCATATCTAACTAATAAAAACTATGAAAGTACGTTTTGTATTATACATAAAGCATTATTGTACAATTCTTTAAAGGACTTATCGCGTGATTTTAAAAAAATCTTAATTTTATGAAAAAATATTATCTACAACCTTGTTTATTAAAATACTGAATACAATAAACGTTGTTGAAAGCGTATTTTAAGAGATATCGAGAGTTGAAATTCAAATTCGGCAATATGCACATTTCAGTCGGATTTCGGCGAAATACTACTCTGACGTCATAGGCGACAATTCAGTGATAGAGAGATGAGAAGTTGCACACTATTTACGGAGTTATCAAAGACAAATGCAGCTTAATTACGAAAAATGATGAAAAAATTAATTCCAAATGTGCTTTTCAATTACTATAGAAACATTAACTAGTTCTAAGGTATAAGACGATTGAGATATTTTCATTTTTTATTCCAAACATTTAGCATTTGTAGGTCTGATTACGGCAATGTTTCGTGATCGGAAAATATTTTTCAAGACCGCCATCCTTTACAAAACATTTGAAGACTCGAAACAAAATACATGTTATTTAGTAGATCTATATGATAAGACAGTAGTGAAAGAAATCAGGCGATCCAAATTGATCGTTAGTAAATTAAACAGGGATAATTCCAGCACTGTTCTAACCAAAATTTATTAACCAAAGTACTTCTTTTTATGAAATCTGAAAAACACCGAATATTCGAATCTTAAATTCATATTCGAATATCAACTCATCGAATGAATATTTGAATGTTCGAATATTCGATGCCATCCCTAATATATATACAGGACCTCAACTTGCAATTTTTAATATGACCATTTTCCTTGTAGTGCTGGTATTTTATGCCTCATATTTAAATTTTATTTTATGTTGCTCATAAAATATCAGCAGTGACTAGATAATTTGCTATTAATCAGCACCTGGCAATTAAATCAACAGACAGCATTAGGGAATGTAATGGACATTTTCAATTAAATAATTTTGTTCAGTCCATTAGGTAGTAATGCATGCTTGACAGAAAGCGCATAACCAGAAGGAATTACATTCAGTTGATAAAAAGATATTTTGACAAATGTTATTGATGACAATAGGATATGTGATGAAATTTGGTTCAAGTCAAGACTAAAGAAATTTACCACTATTTGTAACATTGTATATTTGTAACATGTTCTCTCTTTTTTTTTTATACATTATGATTTTATTAAGAATATATTAAAATTCAGTAAAATCTCTTTTTAGCTCACCTGAGCCGAAGGCTCAAGTGAGCTTTTCTGATCAAAATTTGTCCGTTGTCTGTCGTCGTCGTTGTTGTCGTAAACTTTTCACATTTTCATCTTCTTCTCCAGAACTACTGGGCCAATTACAATCAAACTTGGCACAAAGTATCCTTGGGTAAAGGGGATTCAAGTTTGTTCAAATGAAGGGCCACTCCCTCCTCAAAGGGGAGATAATTACAAAATAGCAAAAAATTAATGGCATTATTGAAAAATCTTCTTCTCAAGAACCAATGGGCCAGGAAAGATGAAACTCATATGGAATTATTGTCAGGTAGTGTAGATTCAAGTTTGTTCAAATCATGACCTCCGGGGGTAGGGTGGGGCCACAATGGACGATCAAAGTTTTACATAGGAATATATAGGAAAAATCTTTAAAAATCTTCTTCTCAAGAACAGCAAAGCTATGATTGGTCATATTTATATGGAAGCATCGTCAGGTGGTGTAGATTCAAGTTTGTTCAAATCATGACCCCCGGGGGTAGGGTGGGGCCACAATGGACGATCAAAGTTTTCATGGAGTATATAGGAAAAATCTTCAAAAATCTTCTTCTCAAGAACAGCAAAGTTATGATTGGTCATATTTATTTGGAAGCATCCTCAGGTGGTGTAGATTCAAGTTTGTTCAAATCATGACCCCCGGGGGTAGGGTGGGGCCTCAATGGACGATCAAAGTTTTACATAGGAATATGTAGGAAAAATCTTCTTCTCAAGAACAGCAAAGCTATGATTGGTTATATTTATATGGAAGCATCCTTGGGTGGTGTAGATTCAAATTTGTTCAAATCATGACCCCTGGGGTAGGGTGGGGCCTCAATTGACGATCAAAGTTTTACATAGGAATATATTGGAAAAATCTTCTTCTCAAGAATAGCAAAGCAATGATTGGTAATATTTATTTGGAAGCATCCTTAGGTGGTGTGGGTTCAAGTTTGTTCAAATCATGACCATCGGGGGGTAGGGTGGGGCCACAATGGACGACAAAGTTTAACATAGATGAATATAGGAAAAATCTTCAAAAATCTTCTTCTCAAGAACAGCAAAGCCATGATTGGTCAAATTTATATGGAAGCATCTGCAGGTGGTGTAGATTCAAATTTGTTCCAATTATGACCCCTGGGGGTAGGGTGGGGCCACAATGGACAATCAAAGTTTTCATGGAGTATATAGGAAAAATCTTCAAAAATCTTCTTCTCAAGAACAGCAAAGCTATGATTTGTCATATTTATTTGGAATCACCCTGAGGTGATATAGATTCAAGTTTATTCAAGTCATGACCCCCAGGGGTAGGATGGGGCCACAATGGACGATCAAAGTTTTACATAGGAATATATGGGAAAAATCTTCTTCTCAAGAACAGCAAAGCTATGATTGGTCTTATTTATATTGGAAGCATCCTCAGGTGGTGTAGATTTAAGTTGTTCAAATAATGACCCCCAGGGTAAGGATGGGGCCACAATGGACGATCAAAGTTTAACATAGGTGAACATAGGAAAAATCTTCAAAAATCTTCTTCTCAAGAACAGCAAAGCTTTGATTGGATATATTTTTTTGAAAGCATCCTCAGGTAGTGTAGATTCAAGTTTTTTTAAATCATGACCCCCAGGGTAACGGTGGGGCCACAATGGACGATCAAAGTTTTATATAGGAATATATAAGAAAAACCTTTGAAAATCTCAAGAACAGCAAAGCCATGGTTTGTAATATTTATATGGAAGCATCCTCAGATAGTGTAGATTCAAATTTGTTCAAATCATGACCTCCAGGGGTAGGGTGGGCAGTGTTCGAAATTAGCGTCGGCCCGTCAGTCCAGCGCCGACGTACAAACGGAAGGACTCACGAATAGTATGACTAAATGGGTCCATGAAATAATTCTGGGCCGATGATGATTTGCCGGGAAACAAGTTGAAGTCAATCACATCTCGGACCTTTCCGGCGAGCTTGAAAAAATACACCGTTGTTTTTCTTTACCGCTTGTTGGAAAGGCTTTAGAAGTTGCGATTGAAGTTAACGTATATTGGTTTTATGCATTTACATTAGCTTTTATATCTTTCCTGCATTTTAATTGGATATATTAAACAAATTAACCAATGAGCGTCTTTAAAAGAAATTGGACTTAAAATGGGTAAAACTTGTTATTTTTATCAAGATTGTATCAATTCTTCTTTTCATGTGCATTTTAAATAAATACTGAAGATTTGATTTTTTTTCCTGCGTGGAATAAATTTATGCTATATGTATGCGGTTACAAACTTTCCACGGAAAATTGTCCAAGTATACTTAAGTACATTTTAACAACATATTGTGGTAATCTAAGAAACCTGTGTAATTTTCTACCCGCCGATTTTAAAAACAGAAATTGTAATTCCGAGGAAAAATCTAAACACATGTTAAACTCTTTACATGTTATATATGACCAAGTAAGACTGTTTGACGATTAATGTTTTACCGTTTCATATTGTTAATACTTGCGAGTTGTAGTTACCCTTTATTAAATTGACATATTTCATATGAAGCGATAAACTTACCGAGATCATCAATACGTAAAAGTTTATTTTTCCCAAATATTTTATGGTATTATTTTTGGGCCTACGCTGCCCTGGAAAGACTCGTGTGGTCCCTTTCTCTGTGGGTCCTTTGGACCCATAGAAAATAATTCTGAATTTCGAACACTGAGGGTGGGGCCACAATGAAAGTTCAAACTTGTAGAGAAAAAAAGTCACAGTCAAAAAATTATGTAAGCAGTGTAGATTTGATTTTGTTCAAGTGATACCCCCCCCCCCCCCCCCCACTCCCTTTTAGGGGTAGGTTGGGACCATTTATGCATTTAAGCTTTTCAATACTAAACTGATTTTTCCTTTTTTCCTGGCCACAGTGCTCAGGTGAGCGATGTGGCCCCTGGGCCTCTTGTTGAGTTTGTGTTAGTTGATGCTTTAATTATTGTAGTTTAAACAGAATGGGCCAAACTTCAACAAAAGAAGAGGCAGAAAGACCAGCAGATCCAACAAAAAGAATTGGTACAACCTGGAAAAGAGAAGAAACTGATGTGAAGATATCTGCAACAGTAAGAAAAGGCATTGATTCTTATACATCAAGTAATGTGTATGAATCCTCCTTATCCCCCTCATCAACTGTGAAATGCTCATCAGGATATACTGACTCTGTACTGAGGGAGAGAAGGAGTATAAAAGGTCAAAGTTTAATGGAGTCCAAAAGGAAAACAACAGGAGCAATTGAAAAATGGGATGAAAAAGAAATTCTCAGAAAAACTTACTACAACCAAAGAGATGTCAATGCACTACCTTCCTCCCAGTACAGATCGGAACCTTCAGAGAGACATGGTAGAAACACAGAAATAGTAAATAATTTACATGAAAATTGTTCCAAGAAGTATGGGATACAATCGCCTGAACATTCATCCATCAAAATTCAAAGCTTGGAAGATAAACATAATAAAAGCATTTCTTTGGGTGATGTAAGTACATTTCAATCAACAAAAGGAATGGTTAAAACTTCGAAAAGAGAGGGAACTGATGTAAAATTATCTGCAACAGTTGAAGAGGGAATAGATTCCTATAAGTCAAGTAATGTGCATGTGTATAAATCGTCATCACAACCCTCACCAAATTTGAAGTACTCTTTGGGGTATCCAGGCTACTCATTGACGGAGAGAAGGAGATTAAGTGACAAGCATTTTATCAAATCTAATGAGCAAACAACAGCAGCAATTGAAATATTGGATGAAAAGAAAATTCTGAGAAAATCTTATTGTAACCAAAAAGATGCAGATGTATTGCTTTCTTCCCAGTATGGATCCGAAGTGTCAGAGATACATGGTAGAAACACAGAGAAAGTAAACAATTTACATCAAAATTGTTCCAAGAAGCATGAGAAACAGTTGCCTGAGCATTCATCTATCAAAACTGAAAGCTTTGAGGATAAATGTAATAAATTTTCTGATGACCATATTGGATTTCACAAAATGGAGCCTCTTTCAAATGTTGTACAAGGAAATGAAGCTTCAGAATCTGTGTTGCAAATACATGTACGAGGTTTCCATAGCGAAGACAATGGGATATATGAATCATCTGAAAGAAAAGAGAGATCACAGAATATTACAATAAATACATCTCAAGATGATCTTGGATCATATAGCAAAGTCAAAAGCAAGGAAGAAAAAGAACGAAAAATTAATTGCTCAAATGAGGGAAATAAAAAATATGTGCCCTCAAAAGAAAATGTTATTTGCAGTAACATAATGAAAGATAGTCCTACAAATATAGATTTTCAAGGAAGACAATCAGAGACTAAATACTGGACTGAGGATGGCCAAAGAAACTGTGATGGTTGGAAGGATTGTTCAATGGCTTCAATAAGACTGGAGGATGTAAAAGAGACGACTGAAAGCAAATTTTTAAAGAAAGAAAGAAAGGGAACTGAGAATGGAGGGGCGTGTATTGAAATGATTAGAAGCAACAATACAAAAAAGGGAAGTCAGTGTTTACCTCAGTCTGACATTAGAGAGGAAACAATGGCAAACAAGAAAGAAAACCATCAAGACTTTCTTTTCAAGGAAGTTAAAGATCTAAAGGAAAGCCTTAGACCTCAGTCAAAAGATGAAAAAGGATTTACAAGTCTAGATGAGGTGCCATCTTTTGAGAAAATTGATGAGAAGAAAACATTATTAGAAATAAAGGAAACTATGAGAATATCAGATAAAAAGAGCTTATCCCTTAGGAACCCAAGTGATGAAAAAAATTCTGACAGCGGAAACCGTGGGGAATTTGTTGAAAATCAATTCATTAGTCAGCCACGTGAGATGAAAGAAAACAACTCTTCTCAAAGAGACACAATCATTACAATGGTTAACAAGGTATCAAGAGAAAAATCTTTAGAAGGCAAAGAAGACATGGGCATATGTGAACAAAGGCATCAGTCATTTACCACAAATGAAGCTAGTTCAGGAAAAGTACAAGAAGGTTCTGAATATCAGGATATGAAAAAGGCTATTGGAATAGCTAAAAATACTTATGGTAAAAAACATGATGAGGTTACATTAAAAGATGGATATGCAAACAAAACTGTTGCTGATGAGCATGAAATCATGGAAAATAAAGTCGAGCAACAAGAGGAGAATAATTCATTCAAACACATAAACTTGTTAGAAAAAAACAGCAAAGTAAGAGGAATTGAAAACAGAATTTCTGATTTTGAAACAAACATGTCACCTATTGAGGTAGAAGAAACAAAACTGAAATTTAGACTAGCAGTGCAGGAAACCAGAAATGCTAAAGGAAAAGAAAGTTGCAAAGAAAGCAAAACCAAAAATGTAAGTGCTCACCAGCCAAGATGGACATTTCAACACAATATGGAAACAGATTTGCATAACATCAGTATGAGTGACAAACACGCTGTAGCAATGGATCAAAATTATGTTGCAATTAAAGATGGTGCTTTGCCTGCAAGAGCTGCAACTAAGAATGAAGATTCATTTGAAAGATCTGATGATGTAGATGAAGTTATGGATAATATTGTCAAGCCAGCAGACAAAGTGGATACACCAGTCAGTGATGCAAGCAGAGGGGGATTAGGAATTTCCATTTATAATTCTGAAGAAAGTAAAGCAAAACTACATACTAAAGATTTAGTAGTAGTCCGATGTAACAGCAAACAGAAAGAAGCCATGGGAGATGAAGAGATGATATCACCTTCTCCAGAAACTAAACTGGAGAAAACTAAGCAAAATCATCTCTTTGAAAGAAAAGTCATTAAAGATACTGATTTCTCTAAGGAGTCCAATCAGAAAAAGAAATCTAAATGTGACAAGATCAGCAAGGTAAAAACACAAAAGAGTTTGAACAAAGAATTAAAAGAGAGAGAAACAGAAATGGGAGAACTAATGGCAGAGGAGGGATATAAGGAAGAAAAAAGAGAAAGTGGTAATCAAACAGATTGTAAATCTATGGAAACAATCGCTTGTAAGCAAAATTCAGACAAGGAAACGGTCAAATACATCTTCACTGTTTTGAAACAATTGGAGGATGAAAATGATTTGCTGTCTCATCTTATTGGCATTGTGTCAAATGTTCAATTTCGAATTCATTTATTTGAAAATAACTCTAAAACGAAGACTACTACTGTTGCTTTGGTTTTCAAAAGTGATGTAAATGCGAAAAGCTTTGAAAGTTGCTTAAGAAGAAATAGTATGAAATTAAACTTTAGGTACCACTTCAAAAAAGAAACTGTTTCTAAAACAAAGCTTGTGAACATAAACAAGAAATTGCAATATATTAAAGAAAAAACTGTTGAGGTATTAGGGAAACACCAGGATAAAGAAAGAAAAACACAGAGCCAAATATCCAATTTAAGCACAGCACCATTGTCATCAAAGAAAAAAATTAAATATACCAAACTTTTTGTTCACGAACAAAGAGAGGCCCAGAAAAAAGCTCTGAGTGATAAATTCACAGAACTTGAACAACAACAGAATGAATTCAAATCATTCCTATCTGAGACTATCCAAAAAATTGAGTGTTTCAAAGCAGGAAACATGCAACAAAAAGAATTAGATTCTTTATTGAAACAATTTGAAGTGGAATGTACACGACTAGAACAAGCCTTGCCAATTTATGCAAAAAGAACTGAAATTATCGATACAATTCTCAGTCATCAAGTTTCTGTCATTCTTGGAGAAACTGGCTCTGGCAAAAGTACACAAATAACACAGTATATTTTGGAGTCTGAGTTAAGTTCCTTTGGAAAAATCATCTGTACACAGCCACGTAAGGTAGCAGCAATGAGTCTTGCACAAAGAGTAGCATCTGAATTGAAGGCAAAGGTAGGGGATCTTGTTGGTTATCAAACTGGTATGAAAGCAAAGCTGAACAATCAAACAAAGGTATTGTACATGACTGATCATATGCTTTTGAATGAGTGTCTAAAAGACCCTTTACTGATGAATTTTTCCTGTATCGTGATTGATGAAGCTCATGAAAGGAGTGTATATACTGATCTTTTGCTTGGAATGATAAAAAAGTGTTTGCCACAGAGGCCGGAACTTAGAGTGGTGATTACCTCTGCAACAATAGTTCCTGATGTTTTTGTGCAATACTTTGGAGGGCCCCAATTCTGTCCAGTCCTTAAAGTATCTGGAAGGATGTTTCCAGTTGAAATTGAATGGTTAGTTCCTTCATCAGGTGCAGATGTAGTTGATGATTATGAGATCAAAGCTATAGAAAAAGCGGCAGAAATTCACAGAAATGAACCACCTGGGGACATTTTAGTTTTTCTAACATCCCAAGCAGAAATTGAACAGTGTGCTGAAAAACTGGATGTCTTGCTAAAAGGAAGGAAAGATCACTGGATTTTGCCTCTACATGGTAAGCTTCAAACAGAGGAACAGAATTTAGTATTTAAGGATCCTCCTCGAGGGAGAAGAAAAATTGTTCTTGCCACCAATGTAGCTGAAACATCAGTAACGATACCTGGTGTAAAATATGTGGTAGATACTGGGGCAGTGAAAGAACTTTTGTATGACCCAAAGAAAAAAGTAAGTTCCTTACGTGTTGTGAAAGTTACCAAAAGTTCTGCTGACCAGAGGAAAGGTAGAGCTGGAAGAACGGGACCTGGTAAATGTTATAGACTTTATTCTAAGGAAGATTATGACATCATGTGTCCTACATCTGTACCAGAAATTTTGAAAATACACTTGGGTCATGCAATTCTGAAGCTCTTGCAACTAAATGTTGATCCATTAGAATTTGACTTTGTACAGGCTCCAGAGAAAGTGTCAATGACAAATGCTTTTCAACACCTGAATAAACTTGGAGCTATTGAAGATGGAAAAATATCTCCATTAGGAAAGTGGATTGCAAAACTTCCATTTGAACCAAGTTTAGGAGTTCTTACCCATGACGCAATTGACTCAAATGTTGGGTTAGAGGGAATTATCATAGCAGCTTCATGCACAGTTTCTGGATCCTTATTTTATCGAGGAGGTACAAAAGAAGAGAAAGAAAAGTCAGACAAATTGAAAGTTCCATTTTGTCACAAATATGGAGACCACTTTACAAATCTTGAGGTTTACAAAGAATGGCACAAAGTTACTGAAAAGCAAAAGGGTAGATGGTGCAAGGATAATTCAATCAATGGAAAAGCAATGCGAAGCATTCGAGATGCTGCAAATGAAATTTTATTTATACTGAAGAGAGATTTGTCCATTACCATGAAATTTGAATTTACAGGTGCTGAGGATGTGGAAAGAAAATTACAAAAACTATTGTTCAGATCATTTCAGAGTAATCTTTGTCATTTTCTTGGACACGAAAAAGCTGGTTACTACTTTATAGACAAGAATCAACAGGTTATTATGCACCCTTCCTCTGCATTTCAGTCACTTGCATCTTGTCCTAACTGGGTTATTGTTGAGAAGGTAATGCAAACCTCTCGTGACTTTGCCTTAAATATTACAGCAGTGGCAGATGAAGATGTTGAGGAAGCGCTGAATGAGGGCTCCTTGGACTTTGATATTGATGATGTGGAAAGACGGAAAGTTGCACCAGTTTTGACAGAATATGTAGGTGTTCAAGTCCACAGAGAATTTGTTGGACCTCGATATAGCAATGTTAGAGCCATGCAAGATAATTTGAAGTTGGAGTGTGAAGATTCCATATTTGTGATAGATGCTGATCGTGAAAGGGGAGAAATTTCAATTTATGCACCAATTAGTGATTCAGATATTTCCTCACGTACTTTGAAAACTGCAATAGATCCAATTAGAGAAAAAATAAGGAATGAAACAGTGGAACATCCTTTGCTACCAGAGTTTTCTAATGTTAGAATATCAATTGGAGCAGGTGGGCAAGTCCAAGATTTATTATATCAAGATGAATATAAAAATGTTTTTATTTTCGGTGAGGCACACGCTTTTAGTTCTGAAGAAGATATGGTGCAGTGGTTTAGACGTTTTGGACCCATTCAATCATTTATACCAAAATCTTCCAAGAACATTAATCCGAAGTATCTTGGACAGATTGTATTTGAAAAGCCTGAATTTGCTAAAACTGCAGTAATTGCTACTCGAAAAGGAAAATGTGATTTTGAAATTTCTGCAAAACCACCAAAGGGATTTGGGAAAAGTGAAGAAGACGATCTACTTAGGGCCAGGCTTGTTTGGTGTCGACGAAAGTCCAGAGGTTTTGGATTTGTTGAGATTCATGACCAAGATAAAATAGACCATATCATAGTTTACAGTGCACTCAATCATTTCGTAGTTGGAGGAAAGCGAGTAAGAGTGAAACGAGGAAATAACGGAAGAGATGAAGATGAAGAAACACATGAATTATTTGTGTCAGGTCTCGGTGATCTTGTTAACGAAGACGTCTTGCGTGAAAGTTTTTTGAATACGTTTGACATCTCTGAAAATGATATAGGAAAAGTCGTCGTTATACGGGAAAAGGTTAACACAACACCTCAAATGTTGCACAGTCTGAGAACAAGAATAGAGAGTCAGTTTAAAGAGTACACAGGTATTCGGCAAAATAAGTTTAATGTCACTCTTCTTGAGCCAAAGCCTGCGTCCTTTACATATCAAGCTTTTGTCACATTTAAGGATCCAGAGGAAGGATTTGAGGCTTGTACTAAAATACGTAACAAGATGTTCATTGGAGAGCATGCCGTTTCTGTTACTCCTGAAATACATACTCGAATCTTTGTATTAGCCCAGGTCTACAAACGAGTAAAGAGTGATATTGAAAAATATCATGAGAAAATAAAGAATGAGAATACAGAGAGGCGATTGACTATTACTGTTCAGAAAAATGAAAACTATGTTATAGATATTGATGCAGATAGCATTGAAAGCATGGTTCGCACAAGAAATAAAGTACAGGAATTGCTTGAAGGTGAAACAGTTGATTTGGAAAAGATCCCTGCACTTCGATATCTGTTTACCCGAGACGGCCAAGAAAAGGTTGAAAAAATTATGAAAAAGACTGAAACATTAATTTTGCTGGATCATAGAAATTCGTCATTATCCGTGCATGGTCGCATTGGTGACCGGAGAATAGCTGTAGGGAAGGTTAGAAAATATGTGGAGAAATTGTCCTCTTCGAGACTGAGAGTGATTGATTTGAAAGGGGAAACAAAACCACCAGGATTAATGAAAGCAGTTATTCTGATGCATGGTGTCGATCTTAATGGTCTGAAAGTTTCTTCAAATTTGTCAACAGTGGATCTTGATCACAGAAACCACAGAATTAAGATGTTGGGATCAGATGATGCAGTTGAAAAAGCTGTCCAAAACATTAATGAGATCATTGATTGTTTGCGGAAAAATAGCCAAACCGCAACTTCCGATCAGCCAGAGTGTGGAATATGTTTCTGTGAAATTGCTGAAAGTGAAATTTACAGATTGGAGTCCTGTGGCCATCCATACTGTAGGGATTGCATGAAGATGAATATAGAATCTGCTATCCGAAGCAAAGACTTTCCAATTAAATGTTGTCATGATCAATGCGATATGCTCTGGGCTTGGAAAGATTTCTTGAATATGACAAGATCTGGATTCTGCAGTCTTCAGAACATTCTGAATTCAACTGTATCTAGTTTTGCCATGGGAAACAAAGACAAAATTCGATATTGCATAACTCCAGACTGCCCAATGGTGTATAAAGTCAGCAAAGATGGAGGGAGAATTGTATGCAGTGCTTGTAGAACTAGCATGTGCAGTAAGTGTCACGTTGAGTACCACAGTGGAATATCTTGTGCCATGTACCAGATGGAGAATGGAAACGATGAAACGGGACTTCGGGAATGGATGAGACGGGACCCTCATAACAGGAAATTGTGCCCGAATTGTTTTGCCGGAATTGAGAAAAACGGTGGTTGTCAGCACATGGAATGTCGCGATTGTAAAAGCCACATTTGCTGGATATGCATGGAGTTTTTCAAAACTAGTCGTGAATGCTATGGACATATGAATAAAGAGCATAATACTTTCGTTTAAAGTAGAAACAGTAATATGTTCATGAACAGGAAATATACTTAAAAACTACACTTGTAATGCCTGAACGATTTTCTCTGAAATAGGTACATTTTTAAAGGAGAAAGAAGATGATAAAGATTTAAACAGAATACTTTTAAATTTAAATGTATTCTATAGTAACAAATGCTTTCCTTTGATTGTGGTTTTGGATCTATTTGTTAAAATTTCTATAATTTATAAAATTCATGTTTAAAATATAAAATTATGATATCTGCATGTAAAACGAATAGGGAAAGAAATATTAACGCGTTTTTTTTTTATCTTGTACTTCCTTTATTACTTGTAAAACCTTTTTCTGATTTTGTTGATTAAATTTGAATTGTCTTAATTATAATAGTGATAATGATAATAATTTTCTTTTATTGTCATTTTATGTAAATTAATATGTTTCCAATATGAATGAAATATTTTATATTAAGGAATACTTGACGCTTCCGGTTAGGATTTTCAACAATTGGTGCGATGTATAAGCATCACATGTATATGTGTATGTGCAATACTTGTATATGTCTGTGATGAAAATATTTTTCAAAAGAAATTTAAATAAAAGGAGGTACGCTTAGTTATTTAAAATATTGAATAAAAAGGCTTTATGTTAATAACCTATTGCTCCAATGTTTTTAATCAACAAATACCAAATGCTTTAAAACTCTTTAGATTTTATACTGATTGTTATAAATGAGATTCAGATATACAATGATTAATACAAGCATAAAAGCAACCATCTTTAAATACTAATGCATTGTGTTGTCGCCTGTAATGTTTCATTTTTAGAATTTGGAATCTACATTACGTCGCGTGAAAACTACAGTGAATGTTCTTATGGACTGTTCATTCCTAAGTCAGCTTGAATTGCACATTTTTAAGGGTTAGGTTAAATTCTTCATATTTCGCTCTATTGTGTATGCTTCTTGAATGTCATTAATTAAGGTCAGACGACACGTTCCTCAATAATATATAATTTTTTCCAAGAATTTGTCATTGAAGTATTGCTACTTTAACAAGTTTCCTCACAAAAAATTGAGGTACCTTACCAAGCATTTTTGCAAGATCCCAGAGGATGCTATTATATACTATAGAACCCTATTGGAAATCACTAGTATTGTCAATATCACAATTGTTTGGTGTCCTTGTCTGCTTAAACATTTTGAAAACAGTTTAAAATCACAAGTCAGTGATAATTGTGATTAATTTGTTGTATTTTATGAAGAGATACGAAACAGATATGTATTCAAGCAACCTGTCGTCATACCTTAAATCTTTTTTTCTTTGATATTTGATTAAAATCTTGGTGAATGACACGTTTTGTTTGTGTTATTCATAGAAAAAGCACGAAAGGGAAATGTGTTGGACATACCTATGGAGAACTAGAAATGAGTGTATAGCAAATAAGTAATTTTCAATGCAAATATAGTACCCTGCCATTTGACTTTCTTCTTAAAATATTATGCATTTAATTTACAGTAAGGTTGTCTAATGGCCCTAAAAAATATTTTTAGTTTTGCTAATTTTCCTTAAAAGAAATGTTGAATTCAAGGGGAAGTCCTAGAAAAGCCCTAGCTAATTGTTCAAGTCAGTTCCTAATTCCTATTATTTTTTTTATTCTACTCCAGCAATTTTGAAAATGCATTCATTCAAAGTCTGTCCCTATGTAGTTTGCAGTTACTCAGATTCAGTGAAAGGCATTTGACCGGTGTCAAGATGCCCTTCCTGTACTTAAAGTATTTTGCAAGTTTCTGTTTTGTCTAATTTGCGAAGGAAAGTCCATTGAAATGACAGAATTCCCTAATTTAGTTGCGTGGATGAATTTCTATTTTTTTTTTTAACTCTATTTCTTAAAGCTGTATATGGCGTGTCTGAGCTGAAAAATAAAAATTCGAGATTGAGTGTAGATAAACATGATATATGTTATTTACGTTTAAATTAAAATTTTCACCGATTTTTAACTTGAATTACCTCATGTTCCTATAGGGTAAGTCTGGGTAATTTCGACCACCGTTTAATTTCGACCAAAGGAATACAACACCACACAAAGATCTACGGAAGTGTTGAGACAAGTTTAATTAGTCCCCTACCGGTGAAACCGGAGGGGACTATAGGTTTCCTCTGAGTCTGTCCGTCCGTCTGTCTGTCTGTCCCTCTGTCTGTCAGTCTGTCCCACTTGGTTTTCTGCACTTTTTTCCTAAACGCCTGCAGATATTGAGCTGATTTTTGGTATGTGAGTGTATCTTGATGAGTTACAGATCAAGTTTGCATTTCGTCCCGCTTCATTAATTTTTGACAGAATTATGGCATTTTCAATTCTTAACGGGAACCAGATTACACTTGCCGGTAGGGGACTAGTATTGCTAATGCAATACTCTCAGAATGCTTGTTTATTATAGAATTATAGAAAACTATTTCTCAAATAGTGTTTCCTAGTATAATTATTCATCGCAAATATAGCTTGATCAGAGATATAAATAATATTTTTACTATTATTTATGTCTCCAGTTTAATTGACGTTCGATGTCCCCGTCTTCAATGCGGTTGATTTGATCAAGGAAATGCAAGAGAGACAACTCGTACAACCTCTTTTTAAGTTTGACCTCGTTCAACAGTCTACAGCACGAATTAAATTAAAATTGTTTTATTTTTTCTTGGAATGTCTTTAAGTTGCAGAATTTTACTAATTTATCTTGGATTTCTCTCAAAATGCACAAGAAACGTCCTCATGATTTTGGTCGAAATTACCCCTACTGATTTTAAGGACGCGGGGTAAATTCGACCACTTATTCTGAAATATGTGTAAGTTGTCTTTAACAGCTGTTTAATGCAATGCAGAGTTAGATCTTCCAAAAAAAAGATTATACTGTATATTTACAATATAAACTACACATAACCTTTTATATTCAAAAAATATGTCAGATTAATTAACACATGCATACCTAGCTATATATATTGCCCGGGCCGTTCACGAGGGTGCATCACTGATCGACTGACGTGCGAGAGAACACGGATTCGGCACTGGCTTTGAAATAACACATGGCGAGAGCAATCCATGAGATTCCAAACCCGTCAAATTAACAAAAGAGAGGATGCAGGCAATATCAAATATATATGTTAATAAAAATCGGGTTTTTTTTAAAAAAAAATTCATCATTACGAATGCGTTTGACGGACAAGACTGAGGCTATCGAAAACCAACGAACCAGTCGTATTAAGATTGTATCACACAGTCCAGGTACACAAATCCAAATAGTACCCAAAATATCAGAACAACACACCAAAAGAGCCCCAACAATCTTGAAACACACACACACACACACAAAAAAAAAAAAAAAAAAAACCCACTGATGTTACACGAAATAAATGATTTCTTTGAGTTTGTTTTTTTTGGTTTTGTTTTGTTTTTTTTTGGGGGGGGGGGGTCAGAGGACTTTGCTTCTGTAAATCTTTATTTAATCATCGTCGGAAACCCATGGTCGGTCTCGACCGACCGTGGGTTTCCGACGATGTATTTAATTGACTTGATCGAATTTCTCAGGATCTATCTCCTTTAAGAATTAAAAAAAAACACGTAAAAAATACGTAAAGCAACGCATTCCAAATGAATATGTTTATGGTAAAAATTAGTGAAGAAAAATATACGCAATTCTAATGATATGCTCAAAACTTGTACATATTATATATGTATACAATTTGAATGATTCTGTTGTGAAAAGATCTAGACGATATCAAATATCATAACAAAGAAATTATTTATGGAATCTGAGAATTTTATCTATTTGCATAACTTTATAACACAATTTTAAAATATAGAGTTAGCGAATTAAAAGCAGAATTTAGAATCGGAATAAGAATTAAGATGTCTTGAAGACAACATTGAAAAGCTTAAGTAACCCAGCCCAATTCTTTACTGTATGGATACTAGTACTTATCCATTTTAATCTTTTTATTGAGAGAGATAGATACACGTATTTTCTAAATAAGGCAATATAGTTTCTCGGACAATAAAATTTTGAATAAAATGCGACAGGTAAAGTTTACATGCATTGCAAGAGTTATCTTTCTTTTTGATGTTTGTTGTGGTCGAAATTACCCCCGAGGCCGGTGTCGCATAATTTACGTTCCGGATACTTCGCGTTCCGGCCGGAACCTTAAAATCATAATATTGGTTCCGGATTTTACTGTAAGTTTGGTTCCGGCCATGGCTGCAATCTTCGAATCGCGGTATCTCTCAATATTATTATCTGCCAGTTTTCATTCGATACTGAACCATAGAGGTAGTTTTTTCCTTTAGGATTAAGCATGGCGCAGAGGCATGCCATTTTCATGTGGCGCAATGTTCTTTTTATAAGGCGTCATGCCCTTTTTGTACAGCCATTTTTAAAAATAAATGAATATAAATAGCCTAAGTAAAGATAGTGAAATACGCTTTCTGATACATGTACACCGAATAAAATTTTGTCGCATGAAAGGTTTTGTTTATCTAATGCATACAAATTAAGTCCCTTTGTTTATTTAGTGCATGTCAGGTGTGAATTTCTCGCTTGAATGCACGCAGACCCGGTATTTACAGGATAAAGAGGATAGAAGATAATTAAAACTAGACTGAGATTACAAAAACCTAAAAAGAAGCACAATGTCAAAGATAAATTTTAATTCTATAATCTTATAAAGTAAAGAATTAAATACAAAATGGTATATGTATTTACAGAGGTGCATTCCCTATTTAAATGATATTACACGTGTTGCAAATTCCATAATGTCGAGCCTCGAATACATAGCTTCCATTCCTCATAGAAATTATCACTAAAATGGCATGAAAATATGGTTTATATTCCATTAGAAATAAACATAAAATATATAATTCACTGATGAAGATAGTTATATAGTTTTTTTGTGATAAATTAACAATGAATATTTCATGAATATGTGGTTTATTCTGCAATGACACAAACATGAAAACATAACAATATGGTTTATTCC